GTATATTCTATGTTAAACAATAGAAAATGTTATATATAACAAAAATATGCTTATTTTTCTTGTTTATTTAGCATGAAAAAAATTATCTATAATTGACAAGAGTGCAGAGGATCCGTTACTTATCTGTTGGACCGCCAAGAAATCCCTCTGACATTCTTCTAACATACTCTTCACGTTGCTAAAGTTTTCTCATTATTGATGAACAGAGTTTTTCAACTTCTTTTAATTTATATTCAAATTCTTCTTTTGTCGCAAACTAAAAATAGAACAAATAATAAAAAAAAAAAGATAAAAATAGTATTTGTTTTACTTGATTTATTTCCAACCATTTTATTGTGTCTTTAATGGTATCGATCATTTTCTTCTTGTCATGCACGTCCATTTTATCTGTGAATTTTTTATCACTAATTATTGCTTTCATATTAAAACAATATGATTCTAGTGAATTTTTCGCTAATATACGTTCATGTTGTATTTCATCTTCTTTTCTATATTTTTCAGCATCAGCAATCATGTATTCAATGTCTTGTTTCGATAATCGACCGTTATCATTTGTGACTGTTATCTTATTTTCTTTTCCAGAAGTTTTATCTACAGCTGAGACATTCAAAATACTATTTGCATCAAAGTCAAATGTAACTTCAATTTGTGGTACACTATTAGATGCTAATGAAATATCAGAAAGTGTGAAATAACCAAGTAAATGATTGTCTCTTGTCAATGAATGTTCACCTTCAAATACTTTAATATCAACACTAAATTGTGTTTTTGAAGAATTTGCCATGGTTTCTGTTTGTTTAGTTGAATTTTCTCGATCGACGGTAACTAATTCTGCCACAGTACCACCAGATTGATCATATGAAGAAATTGTAAATGTTTGTGTCTGTTTTGTTGGAATTGTTGTATTACGTTTAAGTAATACTGTCATTACACCACCAGCAGTTTCAATACCCTGGAAAAGGTCACAAAAAAATTTAGAAAAGAATTTTTCTTTCAATGAACTTACCAATGAAAGTGGTGCAATATCAAGTAAAAGTAAGTCTTTAACATATTCAGATTTATCACCTGTTAATATAACTGCTTGTACAGCAGCACCATAAGCAATAGCTTCATCCGGATTAATTGATTTATTTAATTCTTTACCATTAAAGAAATCTTGTAGAAGTTTTTGTACTTTTGGAATACGTGTTGAACCACCAATCAACACAATTTCATGTATAACTGATTTGTCCATTTTAGCATCACGTAAAGCCTTTTCAACAGATTCAAGTGTGGAACGAAATAAATGATCATTAATTTCCTCAAAACGAGTACGAGTTATTGTTGAATAGAAATCAATATCTTCGTGAAATGAATCAATTTCAATTGATGCTTGAGATGATGACGATAAAGTAAGCTAAAGAAAGAAAACTGTTAGAGCAATCTTTGTGGGATTAAAATGTGGAACACGATTGATTTGCTTTCTTTAATTGTAAATGAGAAAATATTATAGTGTCCGTGATGGTTTGCTGTTAACGAAGCAGTCACGATTTGTGGAGAGGAGAGGGAGTGAAAATTTCTACTCGTATATTTCAATATTCCTTTTAGATCATGCTTCACAAAACAGAGTTGATTAGAATAGGCATATGACAATGCGAATCAGCTTGCAGAAAGCGGGAATTGATGGATCAGCTCTTCTTGCTTTGAGATAGTATGAATTCGTCCTGTATTCGAGAATTGTGTTCCGTTTTGAGAACACAGCATGGCTTGATCCAGCGCCACAGAATCTGATTTTTATCTCATCAATGACAAGAGCAAACTCTCTGATATTTTATCATAGATACAGATTATTTAGATCTATCATCTATAAAAATTTCATTGATTTTGCTTCAGCCAAACCTGAGATATTCAAAAGACATCGACCGGCACGAAAATGGAATGATTTTTTTAGGGTAAGGTAGAAGTTTAGTATTTTGCAACTGAACGAAGAGACATTCGAATAAATGTTCTATATGAAAGCTGTTCAGTTTTTCCACAAGCTTTCAGAATATTAAATCATTTTTTTAACATGCATAAATGCATCGAGTAAAAAACTAAAAATAGTGTCTGTCATGAAATTTCATCTGTTTTTGACATTTCAATAGGGAAAGTTCGAAAATTTGAAATTTTAAAATTATCACGATAAAAGTCTATGTTTTTTCTAATCCACGAGTAGTAAAAAGAAAGTTTATTGTTCAAGTAATTAAATTTTATTCTCATAACATTACCACAGTAAAACTATCATCCATGTTTCAGACGAAAAATGAAATTTAACAAGATGCAAAATTATACTGTTTTGATAAAATTGGTCAATAAATCTCTTATTTAGATATATTATTGAATAAAGTGAAGTTTATATCGTTAGTCAAAAAAACATTCCAGAGCCTGCAACATGTCTGATAATCTGTCGATAGTATACTTTTGATTGCCGATACAGTTTTCTTTATCTTCATGTATTCTAACTTTCCTCATGCGAAGGTGATCGATGGCTGGCCATGCCGATTAGTAACGAGTTCATATCAGCTCACAGCTCGATAGAACTGGTCTGCCAACTCCTACTCATAAGAGATCAAATGACCTGTTACACAGCTACACATCTAGATTAAAAGCTTTTTATTAAAAATGAACTTACTTTAGCAGATTCACAAGCGGTACGTAGTCGTTGAATAGCACGTTTATTTTGTAATAAATCTTTACCATGTTTGCGTTTAAATTCTTGCATAAAATATGCAACCATTTGATTATCAAAATCTTCACCACCTAAATGTGTATTACCAGCTGTTGATTTAACTTCGAAGATCCCTTCTTCAATTTTTAAAACTGATACATTAAAAGTACCACCACCCAAATCAAAAACTAATATATTTCGTTCGGCAGATATTTTTTTATCTAAACCATAAGCAACAGCAGCAGCTGTTGGCTCATTAATAATACGTAATACATTAAAACCAGCAATAACACCAGCATCTTTTGTTGCTTGACGTTGTGAATCATTGAAAGTAGCCGGAACGGTAATAATAGCTTCGGTAACTTTTTTACCAAGATAAGTCTCGGCTATTTCTTTCATTTTTGTTAATATCATTGCCGAGATTTCTTCAGGTGTAAATAATTTTGTTTCGTTTCTATATTCAACTAAAATCTTTAATTTATCAACATCATTTACTATTTTAAATGGCCAATGTTTCATATCAGCTTGTACAGTTGGATCATGGAATTTACAACCAATAAGTCGTTTAGCATGAAAGATAGTATTATTTGAATTAATAGATGCTTGATTTTTAGCTGCATTACCAATTAAACGTCCATCATTGGTGAATGCAACATAAGATGGTGTTGTTCGATTTCCTTGTTCATTAGGAATGATTTCAACTTTACCATGCTGAAATACAGCAACGCATGAATATGCTGTACCCAAATCAATACCTATTGCTCTAGCCATTAGAAATTGTTCTATTTTTTGAATATGAGACCTAGTGACTTTCTTCGATATAGACTATTAACTGGTTCAATAATATGAAGAAAAGATTATTTCAAAATGAAAATCAACTAACTTTGTTTTGTTATTAAAGAACGAGGATTGTCTTTTGTGTTGTTGACTGAAAAATGAAATACATACTGTACATTTTTATACACAGATGAATTGAAAATGGGCGTATGGGAAAAAGTGACTCAAAAAAAATACACGTCAGGATAAGAAAAAAACAAAGAAAGTAAAGAATAAAATAAAAAAACAGTAAGAGAAAAAAAGAATCTATGGATTGGACAGAGAAAAAGTCTTTCATTTCGTTGTGCATATTTAAAGATGTCGTTATACCAATGTATTCGAAGATTATTTTCTAAAGATCATACTATTTCTGTATTACGGTACAACAGTGTGTTGGTACAGCTGAGTCAGAAACACATTCACACTCACTACCTAGAACATATTCTTGAAAAACGTAGAAGATCATTTCAGAAGACTATGGTAAGTTTCAAAAGGTCAAAAAAGTGAGTCAAAAGTGGGTAAACTCGAAATTTCGAAATCACTTCACATCAGTCCATATTTTACCAATCAACTAGAATTCATGCTTTATAAGGTATAATCATAGCACCCCGTTAATCTCAGTTCTAATTTCCTGCTATTGTGAACTTATGAATTTTAATACTAATGAATTAGTAGACACTGCAAAGGTTGGATCTGTGGAACAATAGCATTTCGTCGGCTGTGCAAGAATGATTGAAAAATCAGGTCACTCGAATCAAATGTTGATTGATAATGAAACAAGTAACGCAGCGCAAACGCTGCTAACCCTCTACTGAAAGGATGAGTTGCACTGAAGCTAGGATATTTGAAAGACTAGATGTGGGAAACGATTCGTTGGCAGCACGCTAAGGAGCAGAATGACACAACCCATAATTCTACAAGAGATTGAAATGTAGATTCCCATATTCGGTAATCCCGGCAGAAATTGCATATTCTGAGCATGTTCAAAATATGCTTCATATCCCCATGATATCATCAACATTCTGCGTACTCTCTTTGCCCAGCTGAATATTCTTATAGAATTAGCTATAGTCTGATCAATGTGTTAGTATCGCTTCCACGAGTTTCAAAATGTCTGAAATTTGAAACCGACCGGTCGAAAATGACAAAAGCCCTGTGTTAGCGCCTGAAAATGAAAATGTGCTCGCAGCAAGATGAGTATCGAGATTCCTGGCTCCATCAAAGCCATTTTTGTTACTTCTGTTTCATGAAAAAGCCTGTTAGCGCAGCTCCTTTATGGTAGAAATATAGAACTCATATATATTCTCTAACCTAATTAAACTAGTATGTATTCTTTAAAGTGATCAGTCTCTCGTTTATTATCCTGCTTTGCAGGATAACTGATATTCAGAGTAACGACTTCTCTAATTTCTGCATCTCAATAAGAATCTTTAAATTTTTCTATAGGTGCCCTATCCTTTTGTTTCCATTGTTGCTATTCGCTCATTATTTTTCATTATTATTATTTTTTTGTTAATTTAACATTCTTATTATTATAATAATTAAATTAATTGACAAATATGTTTGTTTTACATATTCATGAATGCTGCAGCAGGTCTCAGGCACTATCATTTCAATTAATCAACTCGCAAATAGTAATATTTATTATTTTTCAAAATTATAACTTCATCAATTTCGCAAAAAAAACCTAGAAAATGTGATATCTGTTATTCTCCATTGTTACGGTCTGTAATGGAGAGAGGTCTAGCAGGAGCGAGACGCCATCAAAGCTTGCTCTTAAACTTGCACTCATCATGTTCTTGGAAACATATGTGAGTTCCACAAAACTGACTCAGCAGTCTATTTATTTGCTACAGTGGTTTAGTTTTTCTCTCTCGAGCTATTTAAGATAAACAAATATATCATTCACTTCTAATTTTTTATCTCTCTCATGTTCTGTCTTGGGAGGGGCAACCTCGATATAGTTCTTATCTTAACTCTTACTCACACTCACATTACATCCAATAAATCTAGATAACAGACAAAAATCTGTTGGCGTCAATAATGATACGCGTGACGCTATACCAAGATTAAGATTTGTTTTCTGGTTTAAGTGGATAAGGACATTTGCGCGGATAGCAGGAGATTTGGACTCGAGTCGTACGAAGGTCGTCTTTTTCTTCATTGTGTTTGTTCACGGCATTTACAATCGTATGAATCATATTTGATGCTTACAAAATCGTGTCGCTATTCGACTGCGTACAGCAGAGTAAAATGATATGAGCAATTCTGTTTCACTAAGAACTGGATAACCTACGAAGGTAAAGATTTTATGAGTCGAAAATTTCCGCTTTCGTAATTTCATGCCTTGACTATAAACGATCTGAATTTAGTTCAAAACGACTCTGCTATTATAGAGCTAAAGCAAATTCAGTGTGAGTACAGATGTGCGATAGAACCACTAAACCACACTATGTTAGTTATGATTCACTGACGATTATGCAAATGAACTCCCAAGATGCTCGAAAACTTTGATCGATACTTATTTATACCTGTTTAAAATTCTCAGAGATACATCTCTTACTATAGACAAATGAAGGTATAAGGGTTGTGAAGATATTGGGTGGGTGTGGGGTGTGGGTGTGGTGTGGGTGTGGGTGGGTGTGTGGGTGTGGGTGTGGGTGTGGGTGTGGGGTGGCTGGGTGAGGGTGTGTGGGTGTGGGTGGGTGTGGGTGTGGTGGGTGTGGGTGTGGTGTGGGTGTGTGGGTGTGGGTGTGGGTGGGTGGGTGTGGATGTGGGTGTAACAACCGATCTTAAGACAAACTCACACCCACACCCACACCCACACACCCACCCACACACACACACCCACACCCACCCACACCCACCCACACCCACACCACCCACACACCCACCCATACCCACACCCACACCCACACCCACACCACCCACACACCCACCCATACCCACACCCACACCCACACCCTTATTGTATTTCTGAAGGATTTAGTAAAATGATGGTGAAGTAATGTGTTCTAAAAAATCTCCTTGGAAATAGTAACAGTAGCGCCATTGTGTTTCATATTTTAAATCTGCACGAATTGTGCTAACAGCACTGTTTTTTTTAGTAGGAATCATTATCGACAACGAAATAAAGCGGAAAGAATGAGTTCAAATAATGGCTCATGTTGTGGATTAATTTGTTTGATACGTATTGCATTTGTTATTATGTTTCTTATACTTATTGTTATGGTTCTACTAACTGGTGTTTATTATGGTGTTGATCTTGTTGTTCAAGGTGCTTGTCGAAAGGTACATGATGATCAACCTTTTCTAATTAATTTTGCTATTGGTAAATATATATTTGTGTAAAATTTGAATTTTATTTTTTTCTTTGAATTGTGTAGATGAATTAATTGAATTGAATGTTATGCCGGATTATAGTTCTGAAATTAATAGAACAGTAACTGATGTGATTAGTGATTGTCGTAATCATATACATTTTAGTAAGAAAATTTTTGAAAATTATTGGTCTACATTAAATGGTGATGTTAAGAATATGATGAATACATTAAGTGAAAATATATATAATCAATTTATTAAATCTATTGGACAAATTAATATTCCTGCAGATATTAATTTAATTGTACAATTAGTTAATCAAGCAAATCGATCAGATATTTCAGTTAGAGCTGAAGAAATTAATAAAAATTTAATGACAATGAATAATTTATTTCAAAATATCAGTAATTCAAATTCAACATTGTCACCGAATTTTGTACAATCGACTATTAGCGAAGTTTGTTTATAGATAGTCATATATGAACTAGTTTTTTTTTTAATTTTTCTTTTGTTTTAGTTCGAAAATTATGTAAAAGAAGTACTTGAATCAACTCTTGATGGATGTCCCTTACCATTAGCTCTGATTTATAAAACAGATACATTGGTATGTCATACATTGGGTGGTTCATTAAATGGTCTATGGCTTAGTGTTTTCTTCTTCATGTTTATCGTTATAAGTGGCTTTTGTATTTCTGGTATTTGTTTCTATAAACGATTGAATTAATCATCGAGACTTATACCTGCCGACAATAATAATAATTTTTTTAATTTTTAAATACATGATTAATTTTATATTTTTGATTTTAATAATAAAATGTGTTTCTATACAGAGTCACATTGTATGAAAATATATTTGAAAAAACTGATTGAATTTTTGATTCATTGTTAACAGAAGAAACATGATTAAATAAGGCGATATACTTCCGCATCGAACCTAGAATTGCTTAACATTTCTTTTACAAAAAGGATTTCTACACGACGGATTTCCACAATCACTGCAATTATTTATTAAAAGATTATTACAAGTTTATTATTATTGAATAGAAAGAGCAAGATGTATTCGTTAGTACTCGAACTTCTTGAAGATTATTATTTATTAATAAAAAGCTTTTACGAGTAAAATGTCAGATCAGTTACATTTTTTTAACTACACTCTTCCACATCAATAACATTCATGCCATTTAATACAGTTGATAGTACAATTCAATCATTCGTGTAAATGAGGAATGTCATTAGATCGAATAAATGCTCTGCTTTTATTTATTGACTCAGTGAAACTACCAAAACGTTCACAGAATAAAGATTTCTGATTGTTATTAGTTTGTAAGACGCAAAACCTTTTGACAAAAAAAATCAGATTTTTTATGTTTTCTTACGTAGGGAATCTTCCTTGGAAAAAGAGGATGGGTGTTTATCGTCTCTTCATCCATATCTATACCCCAAAACTTAAAAAATGGCGCGTTTTCTATAGAGATGTTTTCTTATATAATAATAAAAAAGCTTATTTTAAAAAACGAGCCACGAGGTAGGCTAGCCGTAGAGACGAGCTTTCAAACACAAAAAATATTTGACTTTCTATTGTACTATAGTGGAATGGCACTGGAGATACGATTCAATGATATGAGGATGATCCATCCCAAGTATGCATAGAAATTTTCAGCTCTATACAATGTATTAGGATGATGATCGCGTTTTAACAAGATGATGAAGCCAAATTGTTGAGAGACTATTTCTTGAGAGAGAGGGGTGTGGCTTAAATAAATTAATTGTTTATGTCGTAACGTATCATGACTTGTTTGAAAATTAGGGTGAAAGATCAATTATTATATTATTTAAGATAGTGAATCAAAACGATCAAGATATTTAAAACAACAGAAAAACTCATTAATCGAGCTATTTAAGCTAATGTATAGAGAGTAAACCAACATTGAAGATTATATTTTAGTTCAAATATTGCAAATATTGATGTGCACAAAAGAAATTCTAATTTAATGATGTTCTTTTTCTACTTCTTCATCAAATAAATATATTAAAATGAAAATACAAAAAAAAAGAAGAATATAATTTACTTTTCTTACTCAAAAAGATCACGTCAGATATCAAATGACTTAATAATGAAAAATCTTTATCAATATTTTGGAGTTATACTAGATTTTTCTTTCAATCTCCGTCTTTGGAACGAGGATTAACATCGAACTTATAAATTTCTACATCCAACCAAACTAACTACGGCCTATACTTCTTATATTTTCACAATACTTATCTTTTTTTGAATTTAATAAAACAAAATCCATAATATTTTTTTATTCAACGATATGTTTCACCATTTTACAGACAAAAAAAAGTGAATTAACATCGAATTGTGAATAAACCGTCTAAAAAAAAAAAGGTGATTTAAGTTGGAATAAACCAATCACATTGCTTAATTCGTTTTTTTTCTTTCAGTCTGTTTGAGGTCATAGACGGTAATGAGAAATACATTCATATATATAATGAAACGAATAAGATAATCAGAATCAGACATGGACATTTCAAATAAAAATAATCTTAATATCCTCGATTTACCCAATGAAATATTGTTAATCATTTTCAAGAAACTGAATACAATTGATGTTCTCTATTCGCTTGTGGATGTTAATGAACGATTTGATCGATTAATATTTCATTCACTTCATATTCGGAATCTTGATACGACGAGGATGATCATAAAATCATATTATGATCGTAATTTTTCAATAGACAAAAATGTTCTTTTGAAAATATGTGAAAAAATCTTACCTCGAATTCATCATCAATTAAAGGAACTTATTGTTGAACAAAATTCAATGGAACATATTCTTTTTACTGTTGATTATCCTCAACTTTGTTCATTATCACTTGTTAATTTTCAAGAAGAAATACTTTTTCAATATTTAACAGGTATATTATTTATATTAAATAATAAAATGATAATATAGTATAACATAAATTCATTGTCTTTTTATTTTTTAAATCTTCAGATGATTCAATTCTTCATCATATTCTTACTGAACAAATTATAGATCTTAATATTGATGTTTCATATCAGCCAGAATCAGAAGAATATGAAACTCTATCAAATATATTTGTATTGATTTTATCTATGTGCCCACGATTGATTAATTTGAATTTTTGTCAATTATTTCCTGATCGGAAGACTCCGATTTGTATTTATAAGTTTCCATCAACAAGTTGCATATCGTCGACTTTAACTAAATTAAAAGTTAATGTCGTCAAATTTGATGATTGTCTTTATCTTGTTCGACATCTCAAATATTTATCAACATTGATTATTGATGTGAAAGAAATATCATTGTGTTTATCAGATAGAAATAATAAAGTAAACATACTTTTTAATTCTTGTATTTTGAAGAGAAATAAAGTCTTAATTATATTTTTGTAGGAAAAACTTCCCGAATTGAAATGTTTTTCATTAACTTCAATGGAGTTTGCATCTCATTATAATGATCAAATAATTCCATTACTTCGTCGAATGATAAATCTTAAAGAATTGACATTATTTTTGGCAGTACTAAAAAGATACTCGACTTATATTGATGGTATTCAATTACATGATCAAATTCTTACTTATATGCCACAATTGGACAAATTTACGTTCAGTATAAACACACTTGTTGTTAACGGAAGGATTAAAATTGATCTGCCATCGAATGAAGATGTTCAACATAGTTTCATTGGAAAAGGTTACGAACAAGTTGGTTCTTACGTTCATATTAGATTAGAAGACAATATAGGCATGTCACATGTCTATTCACTTCCATATCAATTTCAATATTTTCTTCATCTTAACAATTCTTTTCAAGGTCATATGTTTGATACAGTTCGACGCTTAACAATGAGTGATGGACGTCCTTTTGAATATAACTTATTCATACTTATTCCTCAATGTTTTCCTCTTCTCAAAGAATTATATGTTATTAATTATCAACCACAAAAAAATAAGCAACATTCATCTATATTGATTATATTTTCTCATCTTATTCTTCTCAATTTGGTTGAAACACATGCGGATTATGCTGAACAACTTCTCTTCGATAAGAATACACATTTGCCTTGTTTGTTAGACCTATGCATCGAGTACAAATCACTCGCAATGATAACAAATAATTTTACCAATAATCCGATACGTCGCAATTGTGCTAAAATAAAAAAACTTGATGTAGACACGTTGTTACGGCCAAAAAATTTTCATGAATATATTCCATTATTATAAATAATAATTTTGTTACAAATTTTTTCAATAAAAGAAGGTAGAGTGGTAAAGTGCAATATACTTGCATCAGCGAAAATGAAATCATAATCTAATAGATGAATGCTTTTTCATATGGGATTGCTCAGTCTGCTTGAAACCCTCAACTATTTGAAACCTGTAGCTTCTATAACACATCAGAAAGTTATGATTATTTTAGCAGTTGTAGTCCTCATATAATGTTGCTGATTGGTCAAGTCTAGAGATAGAG